GGTGGTTTGCCCCGATCTAGTAATCGGGGGGAGGGGAGTGGGGGAGCGAGCGAGAAAGAGTGGGGGTCGGGGTAGTGGGGGAGAGGGGCTAGGGTTTCTAGCGCCCAACGAGGAGTAGTAGCGGGCGCGGTTGGGCCGGACTGGCAGCCCAGTAGCCTGCTGGGCCAAGGCCCAGCTATGGGGGGTCCTTTTACTTTGTTTTGCTTTTGTTTTAATCATGTTTAGTCTTTTCTTTTCATTTATTTTTGTCTTTACTGTTTTATTTATAGTCCCATCTTATCTGAGTTTTATAAAAACATAAAAGCTGTATCAAAATCAGTATTACTAATTATACCTCTGTTACCAAAGTTTAAACCCCTAGATGAAATATTTTAACATTTTATTAATTATAAATCAATTTAAACATTTATTCCTGCTACCGTTTTAATCACCTAAGAGTATTTAAACATTTTATAAAAGTGTGGTTCCTCCACCATAGTTACTTCTGCATCATTGGGAACAACCCGAACATTTTAGTTTTAAAGTTTGAAAATTTTGATGTTTGCCTTTTATTTAATTTTGAATTTGAATTGGTTTTTGAACTAACGCGGGATTACCAACAGTAACTGCGGTGATGTGGCATCATTAACGAGGGATTACTGTAGAATAATTATCTGGGCGTCACACCCAGCATTCTCAGTATTGGCCTTCATCGGGATTAATGAATCATCTACAAATAATAGATTAGCGATGGTCGGTGCTTCCTTGCACACCTTCACTACCTCAAGTTTCCCTTCTTCCTTAGCTTTATTCAGCAAAGTAGTCAATCCTTCGGTAGATAACAAAAATAAATGAGGCAACAATGGATCGCCTTGTCTCAAGTCTCTAGACGGTTTAAAAGTTTATGTTTCTTCTATGTTAAAACATACACGATATTCTACTGTACTAACACATTGCATGACCAGTTTAACCCACTCTTCATGAAATCCCAATTTCAGCAGAATACCTTCCAGAAACGGCCTTTCAACTCGGTCATATGCCTTGTGCATGTCCATCTTCACCGCACACCAACCATTATGGCCATCTCTCTTGTTCTTTATCTCATTAAAACTTTCATAAGTTAGCAAGACATTGTCTATGATCAAACGCCCAGGAAAAAAACACTCTACATTGAGCTAATAATGTCCGGTAAAAAAACTTTCAGCCTTGCTGCTAGCATATTTGGTATTACCTTGTAAACAACATTGCATAGGCTAATAGGTCGGAACTGAGTCACTTTCTCCAAAGAATTTACTTTCAGGATCAAAACTATAGTAGTGTCATTCCAATCAGTGGGATTGTACCTGAATTGACGGCCTTCAACACTTCATCAACAAGATCTTCTCCAAGCAAGGGCCAAAACCTCTTGTAAAATATCGCATGTAAGCCATCCGGTCCTGGGGCCTTCAGATCGCCAATATCGAACAATGCTTTCTTGACCTCTTCGACCGAATAAGGAGGTAGCAAAGCATTATTCATGTCTTGTGTTACTATTCTTTTAACCGATGCCAAGACATTTTGATCAGCAACATCAACGTCAGTTGTTAATAAACTAGAAACTTACTGCATACTATGGTCACTAATTTCAGCCGTACCCTGATGCCACATTCCCGTGTCATCGAGCAACTTCTTTATACAATTTCTTTTCTTCTTGTCATGGCCATATTGTGGAAAAACTTCATGTTTCTATCGCCATGTAACAACCATTCCGTCCTGCCTCTTTGAAGCAAGAAGATCTCCTCTTGTCCCATAATATTCTCCAACAAAAGAAGAATTTCCTTCTGCGTGGCAATGGAATCGGGAGAAAAAACCCCATGTCTAAGTTTCTCAAGTTCCTTTTCAATTTACCCACCCACTTCTTCAGGCCTTTTAAGACATCTTTGTCCCATTGGTGCAAATCTGCATGTACAACCTTCGTCCTATCAACCAAGGACGGTCACATACCAGCTAATCTCTCTTTTGCCCACGTCATATTAATGATTTCGTTCACTGTTTCTTCACATAACCAGCGGGCCCCAAACTTTTTGCAGTACGATTTCCTGAACTGAGATCCATCATAATGTTCAACAACAATAACCGATGATCAGAGTACACATGATGCTCGTGAACAACTGCCACCAGTGGAAACTTTGTTAACCATCCCTCATTGCCTACCGCCCAATCCAGTCTCTCCCGGATATCACCGCGTCTCCATTTAAACCGATTTCCCAAAAACTCAACTCCGTCCAGGCCACATTCAAATAGACAATCACTAAAAGCTTGAAGCATATACGGTGTGGTCAAGTATTCCCACCTTCCTTCTCACTTGGCATTAGAATTTCGTTAAAATCTCCAACTACTAGCCATAGACTTGTAGCATCTCCCTTAAACTCCCTAAAATAACACCAAGACAAATGACACCGGTCCCAAGCTGGTTCCCAAGTAGAACCCGGTTAATCGCCAATCTGACCTATCCCCCTTCATAACCAGAACATTGATAAAATTTCGTGTCATATAGTTCAGAACCACTTCCAACTCATTATTATAAAACAAAACGAGGCCACCAGAGCGACTATCGCTTTCAATAACATGAAGGGAATCGAACCCTAAATTAATCCTCAACTGAATTGCCTTAACTTTGTTCAGATGAGATTCAGACAAAAAGATCACATCTGCTCTCACCCGCCCTTGAAGATCCAACAGCTCACGTACTGCCGTCGTTGAGAGCATACTGCGACAATTCCATGTAAGGACTTTCATTGCCGTCGACAATCAGCGCAACGAGGAACATCGAAGAAAAAAACTCTCGGCGACAGGAACCGCCAGAGGACAACAATCCCTAGCTATTCTTGCTAAGCGACAACAAATCTATAGAGAAGCCTCCTCGTCGGATCATCAAGACCAACAAACTCTAGCAGGCAGCGACCGTCGAAACGACGACGAACGTCAAACGAGAAACTCTAGCCGACCAAGGGACAGTAAACCCTAGCCTTCTTTGTTAGGGGACAGCAAGTCAAGAGAGGAGAACCCTAGTAAGATCATCTACATAGTTTCAAGAAGAAACTAGCAGGCCAACAGCCGGTGGTGGCGGTGGTCCTGCGTGCATGCGTTTATAGAAATAAGTGTATGCATGAGTGTATGCGAGTTTAAAACAAACTCAGGTAAGATTTTTGGTGTTTCCGTTCATTATAAGTTCCAACTTTTAAGTTTCAAGAGTGAGCTCGACCCAAGCTGAACCACACCGAGATCAAGCCATGACAGTCCTGGCCTTTGGCGCCGCCGCTACCTGGCCGGAGGCCGTCGTCCAGTGCCTCCTCTTCGTCCTCGCCGCGGGTATGCTCGTGGCCCTCCACTCCCTCCCCCGCCGAGTTGCCCATCGTCTCCGCCGCGGCGCCGGCGGCTCCTCGGCCGCTCAATCGCGCCGGCACTTCGCGCTGGGTGCCCAGCTCCTCGCCCGCGCGCGAGCCGCTGCTCCGAAGCCCCCGGGCCCGCTCGCCCGCGCGGCCCTCGCCGAGGCCGACCGCGCCATCGCGCTCGACCCCCGCGACGCAGCGCCGCTGATCCTCAAGGCCCTCGCCCTCGACCTCCAGGGTCACCGCCTCCCGGCGCTGCGCACCCTCGACGTCGCCCTGGCGCCGCCGCTCGCGCGATCCCTGGAACCGCGGGAGCGCGGGGACGCGCTCGCCAAGCGCGCCGAGATCACGCTAGCGCTTAACCGCCGCCGCCGCCTCGACCAGGCCGCCGCGGATCTCACCGAGGCCGTCCGCCTTAGCCCCGAGAACCCCCGCGCTCATGCCCTGCTTGGCGAGTGCTACGAGAGGAGGGGCCTCGCTGCCGAAGCCAGGAACTCCTTCAAGACCGCCGCGTCAATCGACCCATCTCTTGCTACCGCGCACGACGGCCTCCGTCGGACAGGCGCAGGCAGCGAAGTCAACGAGAGTGACTGATGTAAGCAAACTTACCTTGATTCTTATCTTGAACTTGTAAGTTGCAAAATATCTAGGGTTGAATCACACAGGCTTCGCAAAGAGAGCAGAAGGAGTTATTTTGGTACACAAATTAGTGATCTTATGCATTATGTAAACGAAATTTGTTAGAGCATTATGAACTGAAATACTGTAGTAAGAAGTCTGATGCTGAGTACTAAATGCAAGTGTTTCTCTCTTTTCAGGACTCGTTTTTATATTGTTACTAGTAAAAGTGCCCGTGCGTTGCAACGGGCTAACAACAAAAACTCACAAAAATTATAATGACCAACATAAAACAATTCAAGTTCATCAAATTGTGCCAACCTGATGTAAATCCTACAGATCAAATCAATAATTAAGAATAACTCATGTAAGAAAGAGGAGCCTGAGCTTTTAAAAAAACGTGCACACCATCCTGGTTGAATGTGCTTGAATGGACGCTCCTTCTGGCGCTGCTAGTGGCCACCACTATGACTCCTTGTCCTCGTGGGCACGCGTGGGGAAGGAGCAGATCCTCCAGCGCAAGAAACAGCAAAACACACCAAGAATTATGAACCACTTTTAGCTATTTACAACAAATAGCCCAAGATTACACCACATGGTCATTAATAGCAAGATTGGATAAAAATAGCTTCTTGTATATTTATACACTCACACACCAGGTCCAGTTCTTCTCATTGCCTCGCTGTATATTGTAGTCTTCACAGAATATTAATTACATGATGATGAGATTAACCGAAAAGACTACACTGAATTTTGGCATTTTGCCTATGCAGTAACTCAAAAGACAAACAACTCTTACAGAATAAGAATCGTATGTGTTTTCTTCCACAAAGATCATGAACAGTGGGTTTAGTTTTCTATTTTATTTCATTGTTGACCCAGTCTTTCATGGCTGCTTCATTAGGAACTTGAACATGAAAGAGGACGATAGGAAAGCCTCTTTTTATTACAGGTATATATATTCAGTAGCTCAGGCCTTTGTAGCAAATTTGTATAGGTCTGCTTGTTGTGCCTACCGAAGTATGCACATGTTTTTGACCTGCAAGTGCAGCTAGGGATGCCTGTAATTCAGACAATTAAAACACAAAGTTGATGATTTCTGTGTGTATGACACTTGTGTTCTGTACATGTCCCCATGCTTGCAAGTTGCATTTGCAGTGTATGGAACTAACCTTATATGGCTTATTTGAGGGGACAACAACAGCAGCCAAGGTGGCGGCAGGAAGTCCTCGACGTGTGACCTGGACAACGTCTTGGTCAGTTACTTGGAGATTATGCTTCCATTGCTCACGCTCGCCGGGACACACTGCCGTCACCGTTGTCGAAGTCTTTGTCGCTGGGGGCGGGACTGGTCCCTTCCTACTTCCTAGTTCCTACTTGATTCTGCCATGACCTGATTGCCCTTGCAATGCAACGGGGGCCTAAATATTTTACGTGTTAGAAATAATACAATAATAGAACCCCACATAGTTCTTTTATAGAGAACTTCGCAAACCTCGACTAATCTATATCATGCAGGGAAAGTATCAATCATATATATCTTCAGAATCCCCATACACATCAAGCAGCATTATCTCCCTTTTATTACTTTTATAAATCATTCTTATTTCCTCCAACCAAACTCACCATGTCTATATCCTTTGAGCTAAGGGAATATTTGTACTATGCAGAGGAGAAGATTAACACTCCATATTGAGAGAACAAATCAAGTTTAGTATAGGTGCCATGCCAGTGGCATGTTTGAGATCATGTCGTCGCTGCTGAACCTTGTACTATGTCATCTAGCAGAACACGTTATCATTTGCGTCATATATATTTCCCTTGATGCATGGGTGGGGCTGAACATGCCCTGAACTCTGATCTCCTTTCCTGCTTTGACTTTAATGAACTTGAGTACATAGTATGCACAGTACTACTACTGTACAACATATAATTAATATTTTACTGTGTGAAAAGAAATTAAGTCAAGACCCTGAAGAATACTACAAAAATATCTAAATGTCCACAACGATGTTCTTAAATTCTGGAGAAAGCTCGTAACCCAGATGTAGATTTCAAGCTGGAAGTTTTATGCACAATCCTTTGTATGTTTGGCAAGAAAAATAATATCAATGAGCTTCTAGCTTCTGCATCAATGAATATATACCAGAATCTAGCCTTTTGTACCCAACCAAACCTAGAAAACAAAGTCTAGAGAG